CAGTTTATCTCTAGTGTAAAAAGATCTCACTGTTTTATATTGTGAATGTTTTGCAGGTGGTGGATGCCAGGTTGGTGTCTGTGTTTGATGCCAGGGAACTGGAGCTGGTAATTGCAGGAACTGCAGAAATTGACTTAACAGACTGGAGGAACAACACTGAGTACAGAGGAGGTGAGGAGGAGTTCAGAATGAATGTTTGTTTTTCAGGATAGATTTGTTTAAACCTTTAGATAAAGTTTAAGATAAAGTGATATTCTTACAATTAACTAAGGCAGGTATCAGCAAACTTCAACATCAAAAGAACTGTCAACAGGAGAAAACGATCAGCTGGGGACAGACGGGTGGATCACAGATCTAACTGGGGGAGGATAAATGAATACATATAGTATGTGTGTTAATAGAGTTATGCAAACTGCCAACCTGTGACCCAGGGGAAAGAGAAGCTATTACCTGCTATTAGTTATTTATTACAGTCGCAGTTTAATGTTTGAGAAATACTGGCATTAAATTCATGTAACAACCAATAAGAAGCTAGAAACAAAAGGTAAGTAGAAAATACATTTTCTAAAGAAACTGCAGCGTGAATGCTGATAGCTGAAGGTTTTGAGCTGAATGTTATTCTGAATTCTTCACCTGAAAACTAAAGTGCAGAACTGTTGAAAGCTGACGTTCACACAGAAGAAGTTGAAAAGTAGCTGAACATGTTTAAAATTTATATTAGAAAAAGCTGAATAATGACAAAAGAAATTTAGAGTCAGAAAACATCTGAATGAATATTAAAAGTTCATATTCTTTGAATCACTGAATGACTGAAATGTGGGAGGATTCACTACAGACAGGTAAATGCTGTAAGTTTTAGTCATTCAGTCAGAAAAGATGAAAGTCATCATCTGACTCCAAATGCCCAGATCTGAACCACCTGTGTGCAGAAGACAAATCCACCGATGAACAATAAGCTTGAATTTAATGGGCCAATCAGAATGCTCTGATCAGATGGCCTGCACTAACTACAGACATACTATGTCTGTGAAGGTTCTCAGTCATCCAGGTCATCGTAGTCTAAGGAGCTTGCAAAGAAAAGCGTCTGGACTTCTTTAAGTTGCTTGAAGACGTTTCACCTTCATCTGAGAAGCTTCTTCAGTTCTAAGGTCAAATGGTGGAGAGTCCCAGATTTAAACCTAGTGGGAGTTTCCCCCCACAGTTGTGACCAGTTAAAAAAATAACTAAACAAAAATAAATACATCACTTAAAAAAGGATTTAAAACAAATTTAACAACTTTGGCGACTTTTACTAAGAATAAGGTTTCAAAAAGCTCATCCCTTGATTCAGGTTTGGTTATTTGGCGTTCATTATAACCCTATCACCATGACATTTTGACAGAACATGAACTGTTGTGTTTAGGTTACCATGATAACCACATTGTGATCCGGTGGTTCTGGGCAGCGGTGGAGAGATTCAACAATGAGCAGAGATTGCGTCTCCTACAGGTAGTTAAAGAGGCTTTTTATTAAAAACAACAACAACAAACAAACAAACATGTAACACTGCAGTTGTTTCTTGGTGTTCTTATCCGCATGTCTTTTTTCTACTTGTTATCTCTCACCTCACATCCTCAGTTTGTGACTGGGACGTCCAGTATTCCATATGAGGGCTTTGCTTCTCTGCGAGGCAGCAATGGACCCCGCAGGTTCTGTGTGGAGAAGTGGGGTAAAGTCACCTCCCTACCCAGGTAAATACCAACCATCTCAGATTTGTGTAAAAATGTTATGGTTTTGTTCTTTTTGTTTGCTTGTTTGTTTGCACTTTGAAAAAAATTGTTTGCATATAAATATCTCAAAACTATTAAAGATGAAAGCCTGAAATTGACTATTAGCTGGTCAAAATATGTGCAAAAAATAATTATAATAATGACAATTCAATCCAGAAAGGTGTATACGTACTGGTAACAAGTCAGGTTTTTACAGGAAACAATGATATAATTACACTGGAAGTAATTTTAAGTATTGGGCAATTTTCCAGAAACACAAACAATACTTCGCTATCTTACATTGTAAGCACCTTGTACTTTTTTATTTTTTTTACAAAAGGACAATAATCAAGGATTGCCTACATGCAAATTAAACCTACATTCTAGCCAATCGGCATGCAGTGTAGGCAAAAACAAAACTACTCAAGTAAAATACAAATACCTGAAAATTCTACTTAAGATTTGTACTTCATTACTTCCCACCTCTGCAGTTAACCAAAGAGGAGAGGGGATAGCTCTGCATTGCCTAGAAAATTATTACAAGGCAGCCTGACTTCACTCTTGTCAGAATTGCTTCCAGCAGAATTAGATGGCAGATTAAAAAAAGGGTAGAGAATGGAATCACTTCATGTTGCATTATATATCATCTGAAGCCTGGATTCCTTCCAAAAACATTCTAATAAATATAATTTAGAAAAAGAGGACGTTTTTAGACATCTTCAAAAAAGACACATTTACACAAGGTAAAGAATCTGGCCTGATCAATATTTTTGTGAACTCATATGAAGGCAACACAAAGGGGAAACTTGTTTCGAGTCTCTGCAAGACTTTTATCTACCTTGTCCATTTAGGGAGAAAGATGCAAATATAAAATAAAAAAAATGACTGGCTTAATATGTATAAGACATGCTGCTACACCTCAAATTCAGAAACATGCAAAGGAATAATTGGGAAGAGCATTTTAAGATTTTTCATATCACATGTCTATTGAAGATTGTTAGGATAGAGACTAACAATCTTCATATACATATACATGCAATGGAAAGAATGAAATTTTCCTTTAAACATTTAACTGATAAAAATGATAATTAGTGTATAATATTTCTTTAATCAGAGGTGCTCTCCTTCTTTCTCCATGTAGGTAATTTTGATATGATACAATAGTGATGGGATTTCTGGTTCTAATCAAAAATGTATTATTATGTATATATGTGCTATACTAGAAAAGAACTTGAAAGATACTTAGTCTTCACAGAAACATGATATGATTACATATACATGTGCAACAATATGTTTTTTAATTTATTTTTCTCTCTTTTCAGTTGAGTTTCTTATCTTTGACATGTTTTTTTGTCCGTCTGTCATGTCTGTAAATGTTAATGCAAAAAGAAGAAATGGGAATATTCTCATACAGTCAAACTTTGTGCCCCACATGTAGTTTGCTGGAGTAATCCTAGTTATTTCTGTGTTTATGATATTAAATATTAAAGTTCTCTGCATTTCCAGGCACTTATTTCGGTCATGCACTGTAGTAATTATGATAATAAAACCAGATTTTTCTTAGATTTGAGCTTCTCTATGTGTCCTGTCAGTGGCCTGTGCTTTAATACATCCAGAATACACACTGTGGCTTTTGTCCAAACATTTGCTGATGAACAACACTCTCTGCTCTGTTCTCCAGAGCTCACACCTGCTTCAACCGGCTGGACCTCCCACCGTACCCATCTTTCTCAGTGCTGTATGAGAAGCTGCTGACTGCTGTGGAAGAGACCAGCACCTTTGGACTGGAATGAGATTCTCGTCTCCCGTATCCCAGTTTTCCCTGCGTCTGACCCTGGAACACTGCTGCTGATAGTGACGTTTAACAGTCAGATTTTGAAGCCCAACTCCTGATTTAAATTTATAACAGGATGTTTTGTTACAGGACCTTTTGAAATGTTTTGTGTACAAAGGTGAACCGTTTTTGTTGCACCTGCATGTATTTCACACCTACTTAATAACTTGCTTTCACCGATGTGACATGACAAATGAAGACCTGCGCTCGCTTTAGGACTCTGACTGGAACTGCCAAGATCTGACCA